ATAACGAACGAGTGCGTTTGGTGAGGTTGAAAGGAGCATTTTTTAATGTTGACCCTATCCCAAGATATCAGTAATTATAATACGCAACTAATTGCTTACTCAACCAGACAGATAGTGTGGAACATGACTAGTCAAAATGGGGAATCGACTCCAGTTTCTACAATCCGTCAACTAGGTAAGTCTGGTTTTTAAAAATTACATATGCTAGTAAATATATCACTTCGGTGCAACAATGACGTCAAGAAGGGCGGAGCAAGGAAGGCGTGAAAGTAAACTCGGAGGAGAAATTTCAAGATAGTAAGGGACCAAATTTCCTATTATAAATACAAGAAAGCATCATGAGTGCCAAGAATTGAGTATTTACAACAAAGAACGTATGTACAGACCTTGGCCGATTAAAAGGAGTAAGCTGTGTGCACATATAAGGGACTAATTAAATAAAGATGGGGTCCTCTGAAAGTTCGCAACGCACATATACTGTCAGCCTGGGCTAACGTCCAGCCAATTCAGGACAGCTTATAGAGTAAGTAACACAGGCTGCTTGCCTGTCTGCCAAGTCTCTATAAGCTCTTTGATGAAATCTAAGCGTTCATAAAAAGTTTCATTGTCGGATGAGCATACGAGTTCACCAAGCTTCTGGGAATAAGGTATAAACTCAGATAATCTGTTTTCTTTGGCTTGTTCCGACCAGCTTGAAATCGTCTCAGTGGAAAGTTCGTAAGCTGGGTTCATGTCATCTTCATCGGGCATATCACATTCGATTTTCACCAATGCAAAGTCCTTTGAAGAGCGCAACTTTTGAGATTTTCGGAAACGATATTTCATCTGCCTTACGTCATTAAGAGAGCAGTGCTTTCCAAATCTACCTGAAGGACGTATTTACACAAAAAGAGAAAACTAACGTTCTATATGTTCCTTTACGACCAGGTTCGAAGGAGATGATTTTAAGATGTCATTTATCTCATCCTTTTCCTTTTCGGTGAGTCTTCGGTTTTCTGGGTAACTTTCAGCGAGTTCCGCGGCCACAGGGTGATTATGTCGCATGACAAAAGCTATAATGTGCAGTTTTTTGGCCCGACAGCCGATACGGATTTCGCAAGGACAATTCATTTTACGGGTTCTAAAGTACTTTTAAACCGGCAACGGGAAGTCACAAACTTTGGCGGTTGAAGTTTAATAGAACGCACACGGCCATTCCCATAGTGGCAACAGGCGTACGTCAAAGATTTATAGACCAAAGTGTTGTGTTCAGGAGACTCGGGCGGGAAGCGAATAGAGTTTCGTTTGACCAACAAACATCCAGTGGCCTAGGAGTTATATAGGTAACAAGCTACAACTTGCTGAAAGTTAGTGAGCATTTTTTCAAGGTCGCTGAATGAGGAGAAGTGTCTTAAAGGTACCAACTCCTTAAATATGCTGGTTAGGTCCGTTAATATATCACCATCGTCTAGAACACGTTAGAGTGGGAAAAACTGTACCAGAAACATGATCAGGAACTTGAAGAAGTGGTGGGAGAGGCGGTAATACAGGTTCACTACTAGAGCTTGGCCCTTCAACGAGCTCGTCGTTGTCAAGATGTGAATGTACCATCCAATACTTACACACACGAAGGGTGCCATAGCTATGACAGACGTTTATGAAAGACTGGCAATGTCCACATCTTTAAGTGGTTTTAAAAAAACATGCTTAAATACCTTTGATATGCACACACGTATTGGATATATTTGTAAACAAACTGATCTCTCTGTGGAACATCATTCAAACGAACGCTTCGCTTGATGGAATACTGCAAACCTGAAGACTAGTATTTTCATAAGCGGTTGATAAGATTAAAACCTCTTCGAATTCTTTCATTCTTCGTTTAAGCTCATCAAACGAGGCAAAATATAAAGGCTGTAAACTGTTAACAAATGCATCAGTGAAGTCCATAATCGGAAAACTATTTAAAGAGCCCAGCAGTAAAGCAGAAGATTAGAACACGAAAACCAAGCCAGGTAATGTGCAGGATGTTTATCCGCAGCGCATCGACCTGAACGTGCAAACATTTAAAAATATTACTCCTACCAAAACGAAATGTTAGAGACTTGTTCTCGGTGATGAAACATGAAACATGGTACTGGTTTCGTTCGCACAAATGCACACTGCAGCATCTGGTAATAGAAAACCGGTCCCCGATGAGCGATCTTTACGAAATCCTACTCCAATAAGGAGAAAAAAGATCTAGACAGCTGGATGACAGACACCCCCAAGCCTTGTACACAGTGTTTTAAGGCAGCTTATGCTGCAACTTCAATGTTGTACGCCATCAACCGGGCATTCACCGAATTTTATGATGGCTGCTTATTGAAAATATTCAGTACCTTCATAAGGCCTAATTTTCAACACACGATTCAAGCCAAGGTGCACTTCCATAGGAGATCCGCCTAAATAACCTTAATCTCTATCCCCTGAGTTATAGGCAGTTATGCGGAGATTTGATGCAAACCTTCCGTATCGTGCTCTCACGTTTGATGACTTTTCCCACTCGCCACCACAACTAATCTCCGGGGACATCCCTTGAAACTGTATGTACCCCATGGACGATTGGATGGGAGGAAGTATTTTTTTCTCTAACTGGGTCATGGACCCGTCCATGCCAGCATATGTCCCCGGATTGGGCGGGGAT